CAAGGGCATTTGAAAAGTGTAAATATGGAAATCTGGGCCATTTGTTGAGCGATCACCATAGTTAAAAGCAACAGACACTTTTTGACCCTTACAAACGCGAGCTTAAAAAGCTACTACCTCTGTCCGAAAGTAGTTGCAACATTTGAGATTGATTCCGAAAATGGTAATGCAACAAATATCGCAAGTAATTCACCTGTAAAATGTTGAATAGTATTTCAACGATTGCAATTTTGTACGAATTGCTCATTGACTGTTGTATTCTAAATCTAAAGGAATCACACATGGGTGCAGATAATGTGAAAATACCGGACAAAATGTACGATACTACGGTGACTCTCATTATTAAATTAATATGAATGTTCCAACTACTTCCGGACAGAGGGTACTGTATAGTACTTTAATGAGAAGAATAGTTTCGATCCTTTATCCTTGTCAAGAAGGGGCACTTTGGCCTGTCTGCTTTGGCCTCTTTGGCACATCCGGATTGTATCCGGATTTTGTGCCCTCTGGGCAGATTTTTGGCTCCGACGGCACAAAACACCGGATAAGGATATTATCCGGTGTTCACTTTGGTTGGCTGTAAGCAGTCGGATAATCCTCACTTTCAGTTTTGCCCCCGACCACACAAGATAACGAGGGAAAAAACCAATAAAAGGCTGATGAACACAAAGCCGTGGCTGAATATCCCAAAGATATAAAGAGGTACCACGTTACAAACACCAACTCAATCATCTCCCAGTATAGTAGTACTACTAGATAATGCTTAGTACTTCGAAGTAGATGATGCTATTAATATTGATATTCATATCAATAGACATACTAGTACCGGATAAAAGTTTATCCGGATATTCAAAGTGACCAGTCATATCTCTAAATGACCTGAACTCAAAGTGACGTGCCATATCTCAAAGTAACCTGTCAATGACAGTAGCTAATGTAGCTCCGTGAAGTGATGTGCCATTGCCGTCGCTTCATCCTGCCCTCGCACCATCCTGCCCTCACCTTACCATGTCCTCGCAACATCATGTCCTCACTTCGTCGTGTCCGCGCACCATCGTTTCCCCGCACATCCTGTCCTCGCAACATCCTGTCCGCGCAACATCATGTCCGCGCACCATCGTACCATCGTGTCCCCGCATTGGTAGCGTAGCAGGGAATATGGGGGAACACCGAGGGGATTGTTGCCATACCTATGGGATTCAGTGATCCAGTCACCCCTCCCTAAGTTATCGGCTCCTAGAGAGGCATTACTTCTGAAAGGATATTTATGTCTAGAGGCAATGAATATCAAATTTTCCAGTGGTACTCCTGACCGTACCACTCCAACATTGAATCGAAAGGTACGGTAGTCCATGGTGCAATTTATGCCCTTTCTCAATAGTACCCAGCTGGTGTCCGCGGAGTTGGTGGCATTTCCGTTTTTATTGGGGTCATCAGACATTTATTGTGTTGTGATCGAATAAAGTCGGACATCTCATCCGACTCAATTCTGATTGGCTTAAATTCGACCTAATTATCCTGCCTTTACTTTTTGCTGCATCATTTGGGGTCACAGTCTGTCAATTCCGACTTCATTATGCTCCTACATCCACAATTTTGAGAAATACTACGTAGTACTTTTAACGCCCAATAAATATGGGTGTCGTACAATCCATTAAGTAGGGTGTATATGCGGGAATGCCATAAAAACCCGGATTACGTCTACGTTTTCTAGCCAGCCATCTTCATTTGGAACATACCAAGCTGACGTCCAAGTTCAGTGAAACCAGGATGATGGCAAATTGGCCATTATATGCCAAATGCAATGCAGCTATAGCCGTGGCCGAGGTGTAGGGACGACCCAAACCAGTGCCAATCGTGCTGTTATAAATGTTTTGGAGCTCCTGCACCGCGAACTTCCACTCATAACTAGTTACAAGATATTGCCTTGATTCTTGGTCAAGTCCCGCAACTTAATCTGGTACAGCCAGCTAGCAACGACAGTACAGTACAGTACTTTAGAGCCTGGTACTACTGGTGGTGTGGAGCACTAACCAACCACTACTACCACAGCCACAGCCACACCCACCACACAGAAATCACTACAGTTCATCCTACGACCACCAGAGCAAGACCAAACACTTACTACCACAGCCACACCCACCACCACAGCAATCACTACTGCTCATCCTACGACCACCAGAGTAAGACCAACCACTACTACCACAGCCAGGTGTGGAGCATCCGCCAGAGGGAGGATCCCCCTGAGGGATGCTCCACACCTCCAGTAGTACCAGGCTCTAAGGTATTGTACTGTACTGTCGTTGCTAGCTGGCGGGTTGCAGGCAAAACGTCATTATGTTGTTCACCTGCCAAGGTCATTGCACTTTTAACCAATCAATGGATACAGGACATTCGGTCCGACTTTCTACTGTTAATTTCTCACGTCTGGTTTTGACTTCGCTTTTGTATATAAAAAATATTACAACGAACAAGAAAGTCGGACAAACGGTCCGACGATCACTTGGTTCCTGTATATCCTGTCCGACTTTTTCCCACTAATGATTAGTATTGTCAAAAAATTATTTGATTGGATAATATATAATAAATCATGTGTTGACAAAACTTCGGTGTCCCTTAAAATCCGTCGTCGTCTGTATGGCGGTTTGGGCCTCGTCAACGAGTAAATCCCACGTGGAACTACTCGAGTATTGGATTTGAGTAAACAAGATATGTATCACAGTCAATTTTGATCAGATTTGATGAATTCAGCCCAAAATGTCGTTTTAACTAATCCATGGATACAGGACATTCGGTCCGACTTTCTTCTGTTAATTTCTCACGTCTGGTTTTGACTTCGCATACTACACAGATCTCTCATCCCAACGATCCACTTGGTAAACCTTGGTACTACCAAGTACCAAGGTTTACCAAGTGGATGGTTGTCTGACGTTAACGATTGGATTGACTTGGCTCTAGATGAAAGACCATTCATTTTCCAATTTCCACCATGCAGTTCGCACTCCTTCTCGCTTTGACCGTGGCCGTCGCTACCTTGGCTCAAGACCAAATTGTCCCACCCCAAGTCGCTGGGGGCGTCCCG